TTTTATATTACTGTACAGAAATAATGTTGACACAATATATACAGGTAGAGGCAATTTGTAGCCTAAGAGACACCCGAAGATATATACAGTACATCCAGATGTACACAAGACAAAGAAAAAAGTTTTAAAATCTTATTCTGTAAGATTTACTATACAGTGAAACCTCAATAATGTGGACCACACGGGTCTGGCCTTTGGTTACTGTGAACTAGCTCCAACCCGACATAACTATAGTACATGGTATCACTTTGTGTTTATCATCAGAGCAGTGTGGAGGTTTGAGGAAGTGTCCATTTCCCATAACAAAAAAAAAACATAAATAGGCTTTTAATATCATTTTAGTACAATGTAAGGAAGATTATTTTCTTACAATCATAACTCATTATATACAGTACTGTAATGGAAGTTAATGGGAAACTATGCTTTAATATACAAGTTCCCTTCACAAAATGTTTTTCAGGAACTAAATTCTTCTGTAAATTGGCATCTGCCTGTACTGTACTTATTGCTTTAGATTTTATGACTTTATTACGCTTCATACACATGTGTAATGCATTTTTTATCTTTTTTTTTTTTGCACGTAATTTGGATTCTCCAGACGTTCAGGTAATCCAGAACCCCCCCCCCCTCCTATATTTAGTCCAGAATAACAGTTTTATGGTAATATATATCATGGTAAATCACGTCCATATTCCTCTGCAGGATAGATCATGGTATATCTCTGCACATAGCTCATCAAGGCACACTGCTCATAACATTACTGATCCTCTCCTGTATTATACTACCACACTGGAGTACACAATCACTCACTCCATATATCCCTACCACCTTAGTGTGCTAAATTTATCTAATCATTTCTTTATCTTCCCCCACATTTACTTCATTCTGTCCCCTTTGGTTTACTCATCATTCTTTTACTTATTTTTCCCTAGCATTAAACCTAATATCTTCTATGCATTCAATCAAAGTTTTGTCAAAAACAGCAAATTCCCAAGTAACCCAGTCCTATTGCCTTAACAATGAGCAGCTCGGTGTACCATGGACAATAGCTAACCTTGGAGCCTCTAACAAATTGCCTGTCTTTTCTGTTTGCTCTTTGATGTTCCTGCTGCTGTTTCACTATTCTTACTAAATTCCCATCTCCCACCATCTTATTTCCTAGGGGGTAGCTCATAAGGTCAACTTCTCACATCCTGATTTCTGTACAGTTCCATGAAATTCACAATTCATTTATATTCCTGAACTCAATTCCAGGGGGTCATGCCCCTCTGCAGCTTGGTCAAAACTCAAGCTTCCTGAGAGATGACCTGATATGCCATGCTGTTGCTTTATGCAGTCCACAAGCCATCACTTATATTTATTATATCCTGGCTCCTGATTGATCAAGTATTTTTCAAAGAAACTTTCTCGCTCTTGCCTTATTTCATTTCACTCGGTCACTCCATGTTTGTGCTCTCAGCACTTATAGTACTCACTCTTCGTCAGCTGTTACATGCATTAGCCTCAACTAATGCCTTCTCAAACTAACTCTCACCTGCTGACCTTTCTACCCTCCCACCACCTTATTTCAACTAACATACACCACTCCATCTTCACAATTTTCTCTGTAAAGTACACTATAAAAGTGACTGCATCCAGCCTGTCCTTTGGTGCAATAATTTATTTTATGCCTTCTCAGTATCTGTCATATTTTAACTCTTTCCCAAAGCATCTACATCATGATAATACCTCTACTTCTATCCTCTTCACCCACAATCATACCCATTGATAACATTTTTGTTCCTACACATATCCTTTTTTTAATAATAAATTCTCAAGATGTTCCCTGTATATTTAACTGTTACATCAGGTTCCAAAAACTTTCAACCAATCATATTTTATTTTCAACTTCTTTAACCACCTCCTGCATTGGTAATAATCATATAAAATTGATAACATTAACAGTTGAGGCTCTCACCATTCTCGTACCTCTAGACCACAGCTTTACCCAATACTGTACCATCTGATATGGTTAACTATCCTTTACAACTGACCCATTTAATAATGTTTACGACAATCTCTGCTTGGTCTCTTTCTTATTACCATTAATCAGCATATACTGTACTGCACTCCAAGTCATGTTCGAGTCATTCTGTTGCCCCACTTTTGCTGCCAACTCTCCTTCCTTGATGAGACAGATACATGCAAAATCTTACCCAAACACATCTCATCCATACATCACCTCCATATCTCACTGGGGCAATAATTGAATCACTTGCTTAAGCATTCTCTATTATGGTGAGGCAATCACTCCTTCCTCTCGGTGAAAAACAAGAATATGTGGAAAGAATGAGGGATCCCACTGCCACCATACACAAACTTATTGGACAAATCAAAGTAATTTCCTCTTACTACTCAGTATCATCTGTCCATTCCTTGACATAAATTTTCTCCCACATCCAGCACTAGAGAATCCTATCGAATGCTTGCATCCTTTACTAAGGAATCAATGTACCTGTACACTAAAGCCAGGTAGAATAATAACTAACATTAATCATTCATGGAAGCTCTACCATATAATAAACCTTTCTCCCAGTGAGGATTCCATGAATAATCACTCATGAACACCACTTGCTGCTCTGCCACAGTTTCTGCAACTCAACATTTTTCTATCGGTTTCTTCTCTACGTGCTTGCTGCAAACCCTTATCCTTTCCACACATTTTCATTAAACACACAAATGAAGACTCACTTATGATACTCAACCAAATAGTAATAATCCTTAACATATATTTAAAATATTGCTGTGAAATTGTTAACAATTCAATTGAAGGTATAAAGACAGCCACTGGCTGAAGTGTCTGGACAAGATTAAAAACATGACTTGGATTTCTAATAGTAATGTATTCAAATATAAATGTGAATACCCTGAAATACTGTATTCGAATGCATTCAAATAAGAATACCGAATACTCCATCCCTGGTTAAGATGCCCACGTATGGAATAGGCTGATCAGAAGCTTATGTAACAGTGAACGATAATGTCCATACCTTATTTTGTTGTTATTATGCCCTCCCAGACACCATGAATAGGAAATCTTATTAAAATATGAGTTTAAAGTTATGTTTAATTATTGTTTCAGTGAATAAATAATAAAAAGGATCAAGTGTAAATTCAAAGAAAAAAATAAATAACAAATTGCATGGGCTGTGCCGAGGCTCCAGACAGACACATGTGCAACCTTTCACTCAAGATTTTGCTAGTGAAACTAAATATAAGTTCGCTAAATTAATCTCCATACCTTTAAACACCTCATTAAACTGATTTCTCAATAATTTGTTACTCTGTGAGACCTTACTGTAAATTATCACATGTTAACACCCTCGACATGACATCTCTCTATGCTCATAATGACGTACTATTGACGACAATTAGCATATGTAATATCAAGTAAATTTAATATTTCTTTGGCATACTCTGCAAAATTAACTCACTCATTAGCATAGGAAATGAAGGATAAACAATTATAGTATTTAGTATAAGATAGTAAAGCTTTAAGGTAAGAGAGAATATTGATACTATGGTTGGTTGGTGCTGGATTCATAACTGAAGGAGCTTAGCTTTAAAGCCAAGATGGGTTCTCCATATTAGTGTTTCTAAACCCTTCTGGCCACAATATTAAACTGGAAAATGTTATTTATTATAAATGAATACGCCAAGAGTTTTTAGCTTTATTTTATTGTTTCTACTGGTGTTCTTTTAGTAGTGTACTGTGCTGTAAAGCAAATATCAGATGGTAGTGAACTTTCCCTGATGCTCCCCATGTGTTGCCCATGTGAATGTACGTACTGTAGTTTACTTAATTTTCATAGTTTTAAGAATTCATTCATATGATATTGTATTTTTTTTGCACACTTTCACACAGATTAATGCAAACATTGAACCAGGTCTGTACAAAAGATGATTAATCCAATGTGACCCCATTACATGCTTCCTGTAAAACTAAAGGTTTTGCCAACCAGCACTGATTGCAAGCTGCTGGATTAAGATAATATCTAAAGAAAACTTGAAGACTACAGGTACAGAAGTTCTGAGTTAGGTTGTTGGAAGTCAAAACTGGACAAAAACACTAACTATGGGTTACAAAACTACTAATTATCAGTATGTTGCAAACTAGTGAACAAATAAAAAATAATAATAATAATAAGCAACAGTGAAGGCTCTAGAGTGAATACTGAATTATGTCACAGCAGTTTTTATTGTTTAATATCTGGAGCCATTACAACAACGGCCAGTCAGGCAATGACTCGATAACAATTTTTTTTCATCGTGGAAAAAATAATATTGAAACACCGTAATCAAAATTATTCTAATATATACAAAATATTACATAAATCACTCCAGAATAGCAAATATGCTAAAAATGGAAGAAAAAAATCTACGATACTTAAAATACTACGACTGAGGAACAGTAATAAGGTACATAAGATCTGCATCAGTAAGTTTTGCATGTGCCAGTTGTTATACACATATGCAAGAGGGAGGGAGGGAGGGAGGGGCAGGGGATGGGATGGGATTGGGCAGAACACCGAGAAATGACACGGAACATTCACTGCTACGGCATGCCACACATACTGAGTTCATTTGCATTTTTGCCGAGTTGCACTGATCCTCGTAGTGCAGCCATGGCAACAGCAATCAGTCATTTAGGTCAGCATTATCAACCAACAGGAAAGCGGCAAAGGGCATCACAGAGTAGTTGTCCACTGCGGTCGTTAATCAGCAACAGCCAATAGGGAGGCAAGTTGTAAGCTGTTCCTATTGGCCTGCGTACAAACTTAGGAACCAATAGGGATGCAGGCAGGAAATGCAAGTTCCTATTGGTCACTTTTACACTGACACTGACCAATGGGGATACAGGCAGGAGGCACAGTTTCCTATTGGTCACTTGCACACTGACAACGACCAATGGGAGGCAGGCAGAAGGCATGGCAGGCTACAACTGGTCACTCCATCAATACCTCATCCTCCTCCTCCATATCAATCAGTTGACCACTAGGTAGAGACTGCGTGCGGTGCTGCTTATGAGGGTCAAACGGGTCCACAATGATTGTTTCTGTCCCTTTGATCTCGGCTCGGCAAAACGGACATCCCTGACCTTCAGAGTCCTGCAAGTAATGTTAATTATTAGGCTTTTCAAACTGCTAGAGGGTAGAGGATGACAATAGGTAATACTGTAATAGCTGAAGGTCTGGGGAAGCATAAAATAACTGAAGACCAGGATAATTAAGTATTGGTATGAATTTCCTGTCATAGTGAGCACTAATAATGCATGAGACTATATACTGGGTAAATATCCTTTTGTTAATTTTCTTAAGTTTCTCAATAATATGATGCAATTCAGTGGTGCTATACGAACTCCAATTGCAGTCAATTTGTCCAGTGCTTGTATTATTTTGACATTCCCGACTATTTATAACAATGCAGAACTAATGCAAGTGTTTGATTCAAGAAGTTATCTTGACACATCCCAATCATATAAAATTCAGGAATTACAATATTTGTATAATGTATTTGGAGATATATGCTAGAACAACTTTTTCTTGCTGATAGTAAATGGCTATCAGAGTCGTGAAGTAACGTAATATATTTACTTGAGTAATGTACTCAAGTAACTTTTGGGTGTATTTACTTTTTAAAAAGTACTCAAATTTTTTAGTATGTACTTGCACTTTTATTTAAATATGGTTTTCTAATACTTTTACTCCTATACAATTGAAAAAACAAAAACTGTTACTCGTTACATGCCCCAAACAAAGCGTTTTAAATATCCAATTATAGGACACAGGACAATTTTGGAAACTAACCAATCACAAGCATTCATGTCTGGACCAATCACATGCGTTCTTTCATATAGTTTCATCTATGTACCCAAGCCGCCCTTTCCTTGTTCAGTGCTATGCGGTAGGGTTGCCAACTGGCATTTTTCAATGACAAATTACCCCAAAATTGGTACAGTATTAAAAAACTGGTTTGACTTTGAAAAAAGTAATTTGGCATTCAGGTATTAGGAAGGTCCACTTCTGGTAATGAGGAAATCTGTTGGTGTGATATTTTGCTTTACAGTGAGGAAGAAAACATGGTTATAATTTTCTGGGTTGCTGCCCCAGCCAGTTAACCACTTTGTGCACAGTTAATCCCCTCAGGACCAAAGACCAACCTCATAGCAATGAAGTACAGTAACTGACCAAGGCCTTTCACACACTACTACTACTACTTACTGCTTTGCTGTCACTCGGAATCGAGTAAGACGATCATCCAGCTATGATACAATGATAAGAGTTATTAGGGATGTCACCTTCTTTGGTGAGTTTTGAGGTGACAGACACACACACACACACACACACAATAATTCACAGAAAGCTAGTCACAATTTCTTCGAGGAAAAATCTTGCATGAAAATGGAAATATTTATTAACCATAGTACAGTACAGTAAAACAGTTACAGTATATTATTTATGCAAGTCACAATTCAAGAAAAATCATATTTGTTTTCACTATAATAAAAGACACTTTTTTAATTGATTAATTAATTATTAATCATAGTAAAAGAGTTATGTGGGGAGACACCATGTAGTCTTCTCCCCCACCTTTCCTTCAGAGGTTTCGTCTTTCCGTTAGATGTCAGTTACTCTTTGATACACCTAAAATGAATTTCAAAGAGGCTGTGATTCTAAAATGCTTCACATAATTCTGTCTCAGATATAAAACCTGTATCTATACATATGTGTGAGACTGAGCATATTTAAAATTCTGCTTAAACTAAGTACCCCCCCCCCGCCTCAGGTAATTGCCAAATAGGTCTGTATCCTACCCTAAGGTGAGCCGAAACAACATTATAAAATGTCTGCGGATTATAAGTCCACGTTGACGTTTCTTGTGTGGATAAGGAAGGAGATCATAGTGTTGGAGGGATATATAGTCAGCCCATTCACCGTCCCTGCGATGGACTGTTGGGGGAAGAGCGACTGAACGTATTCTCTTTTGGTAGGTCAGGCTGGGCTTATATCTAGGCCTAAAAGATCTTGATTGGTCAGACATAATTTTGAGAATCAGTAAGTGATTAATATCAATAGAAATATGTGCAACTAAACGTGTGTAATGCTGTGTCTTTTATCTTTAGTTAACTTTTTTTTTTTATTTACTGTGGAATTATTTTAATGTTTGAGACAATTTAATAATTTTGTTGTTACTTTTTAACTTTCAGTACTTGGTTACTTAATGAATGAGATACTTCTTTACTTCTACTTGAATTTTGTCAGTGTAACAATACTTTTACTTAAGTAAAAAAGGCTGGTACTTTTTACAACTCTGATGGCTATATAAATGCCAATAAACACAACAGTAGACAACAAGAATCACTGAGAAAGATCCTAAGTATTGTGGACTGAGACAAAAAAAGTCTGTCCCTGCACCATGTTAATGTGTGAACTACTTAGTGCCTACAGGAGACTGAAAGCCACCATGACAAAAAGTCACACAGTTCAAGTTATCATCATTTTGTTAATCACTGTACAGTACCATCTCCAAGGTAATCAATGGTCTGTATGAAGGTTCATCAAGTCACAATGATGTGCACCAAAATGCCTTTGGAATAAAGCATACAGTACTGTATAGGCAAATTAGCACAATGACCTGAAAGATTTGAGGAAACAACAACTCTAAATTTTTCAATGATTTAATTCACCTAAAAATACTGTATAGATTGAGGCAGAAAGTCAGATCAGCAACCTGGGACTTGGTCACAGTTTTTGTTATGCCATATGGCAGCAGGGTCTACCATTAGACAACACATTATGCTTCCAATATCTTCCCTGGCGGTAGTACCTCCCTGTTTGGTAGCTGCCTACTACCTATGAAGCGATTAACAAATTTATTTGCCCAGCAGCCAAATGGGAATAGAGCATTTTTTTTATTATTATTATTATTATTATTATTATAATTTATTGCTCACATTTACTGGTATATACTACAGTATTTTACATTATTTCTCATTGGAGTTGGTAACTGGCAGAAATTTAGTTTCAGAATTGCAAACACTGTTCATGGCGCCAAGTGTTGGTCACGGCCAAGACACGTTAGTGTGAATCTGGCGTCTTGCTACATTTGATGTCTAGGATTATAGGTATTATTTCTCAAAAGCTAGGGTCAAATTATACAAGAGATATATGAAATCGGTTTATACACGAGTATATACGATACATAATTCTCCTTACAACTGGAAGTGTCATGATGGAGGAGTCTGAGAGAATATCATAACAGATTTAAGAGAGAGCAACTTTATACAGGTTGAAAATATACAGGGTATTTAGTTTTAGGGTCACATTTTCCTTTCCCAGTGGTCTCAAGTTATCATCATTTTGGGCCAGACTTGTATAAAATGCTATAACTTGAGAACAAAACAAAGAGTCTAGTTAAAACTGTGCATGAGTTCGTGTTTTCAGTTTGGGTTACATGATCACACCAATGCTTCCTGTGATGTGTTACACCTTCAAGCTTTAAGAAATATGGTGAAATTAATGCAAATTTGTGACAGTCTGGTGGTCTTTCTGGGCACCAAAAATGACAGCCTAGTCTTTAAACTAAACTAAAGCTAACTTTTTATAAAGGCTAGCTTGGTTGCATGGTCCAGCCATTATCAGAGATGTGTAAAACTGATCTATACTGTAATTCTATGTAATGCAAATAAGAAGTAACCTACAGAGTTAACTAGGGGATAACATGGAGTTTTGCAGTGATTTCTAATGAGTCAAATAAAAATAAAAGACCAAAGAACAATTAGGACTGACCTTCTGAAAAGTCATACGAGAACTGACCTGCCATAAAGTCAAACATGGTGTACAAAGGAGGTGGCCGCAAGGTTCTATTCTGATGTCCTTGTCATTTTCCGCACAAATTTTACACAGTTGGAATGTGGAGCCCATTTCACAGTATAGTTCATACTGTTCTTGGGTTACCTGAGGGAGGAAACATGCATATTGATAAGAACATAAGAAAATAAGGAGTCTGCAATAGGCCGGTTGGCCTGTGCATGGCAGCTCCTGTAGAGAGTTACTACCACTCTCTATCATCCATGAATCTATCTAGCCTCCTTTTAAAACTTTCCAGCATTCCAGCACTTACTACAAAGTTGCTAAGCTTGTTCCACTCGTCCACCACCCTATTTGTGAACCAGTTCCTTCCTATCTCCCTCCTAAACCTAAACTTATCCAACTTAAATCCATTGCTACGAGTCCTATCCTGCTCGGATATTATAAGAACTTTACCTATATCGCCTTTATTGATTCCTTTCACCCACTTAAATACTTCTATCATATCTCCCCGCAGAAAAGATTTTTAAGTTGTAGCTGTGACTGGCAATATTTGTACATACTGCAATAATGAAAAATTCTCAAAGACATATACAGTACGTACAATAGTGTTATTTTACTTTTCTCTAACATTTTATATAATACCAATTATTATCCCAGTAAATTCATTCTTTTAATAACAAAAAATATTTCCACAGTTTGTAATATTTCTAAGGGGAACATAATTTTCCTCCTGTATCAAGACATTTAGTGCTATTATACAAGGTGGCTAGATAAGAGCAAACTCATAATCTTTAAACTACTATCATTCATCCTGTCTTTCTGCTGTTACAAAATGGCCACTGTACTTATCTGGTTAATCCTATTGCTTCACTCAACCTGGCACCATGCAACAAAAAATACTACAAATGTTTTCTAACCCTTCCATTTTTTTTGCTGTAATTCCTGTGCTTACACCAGCTGCTATATAACCCTTCACACTTTACATTTACAACAACTCACACCAATAACTTAAGAATGTTTTACTCTCTTGATTTTTGCCCCACTTCTTTATGCCTAATATCATTATGATACAGAGTGGTCAAACCGATGCTGATCCTCTGATTAAGATTAGCAGTAAGTAGGCTGCCCTCATCCCCTTGGCAGGTTGTAACTTTACCCAAGGGTTCTCTGCTATGAGGACCCACCAGTGTAGTCATTACCGAGCAAGTAAGGGCTAGTGAACAGTACAGGGACAGTACAAACACCTTCTCTTATGAGTCGTATACTCTCACCAAGCTAATGAGTCGAGTAGTATGTTATTTATTGTGTAAAGTTTTTCCAAAAATCAACAAATGTTACTTAATGTTCTTTTACCCATTTTTATCAGTTTTATTTAAAAGTATCCTGCTAATAAGATGCAATCCATACAACCTCATCCAGTACTTCAGAAAATAACCCCAATATTGTACCATATGTGATTTTATTATCTGCTAAATGATTGTCCAAATAATTCCATCTCAAATCATATCTAATTCCTCAGTTATTTCTACTGTCCTTTCATTCCTTGTTTCCCATTAAAGAAGCACGATGATGAGTCACGTTAAGGACACCGTGATGCTCCTTGATTACCAACCTTTATATGGTCCTCTGGAGTGGCTTGTACGACCCAGGCTAAATCTGGATTGATATTTCGACCATCAGGATATAAATAACTGCAAAAACGCAAGATATTATCAATGTAATGGTACAGACAAACAGAAGTATAATGCACAATAATTTGACGAAGCCAATTTATAATACCGTAACCACGCACAAAGAGATGATGGGTAGTGAACGGGCTAGTTGTTAAAGTTCGTTGTTTCTGATAATTACAGTACCAGAATTGCATTACTGTACTGTACTTGATGTTCAATCAGTGACTGAAGTTCATATATCACCAAACATATGAGAAACATAGAACTTTGGAAGGGAATTCAATTATATAATTCTTATTCTTGCCTTAAACTTTATATAAAGGTTAATCCAACGTTACCTTTTTTAACTGATGTGTTAATTACATTGACTACATACACGTATTTATATCTGTCAACACCTCTCTCTCGTCTAATAAAGCTTAATTCTGCTTCTCTACTCTCCTAGAATTACATAAGCTTAATAGTGCTCATCTATTTACACCTGAGAAGCTGTAATCTCTCATCAAAAACACACCTCATCAGCCATCCATGCAAATTACTCTTCACTCTTACAAGCCAACTTCTGCTTCAGTGCAGGGAGGCCAGAGTCAAGAGCACCAAACTCCTCCTTACCTGCTCTCATTCATTCATTCTAGCTGCATTCCTACAGTTCTCTCAACACACTTACAATCCTTCTCTGTGTCCATCTAGGAGGGCCTGACAGAGTGATTTATTTTGAGGAATGGTCTGTAGGATGCTGCCATCACTGGTCACGTAGCCAATCGCCCACTGACCAAGCCGTGTACATGATAGCCGGAACACATAACTGTTGGGTGGAGTTTGATTTAAAGACGTCTGCCAAGTGAAAGTATTTCCAAGTCAGTATTATACCCTCATAGATTCATCAAATACAACAGGGGGAATTAATCAGAATATTGAAAAAAAACAGATATCAGATCTTATATAGCAACCACGTTTCTTTTCTATACTATGACTGCTGTGTTGAGCATGTTATGTACCACAATCTGACAATATCAACACATCTTACCTTCCAGGTTTGTTTATATATTTTTGTAATCTTGCTTTAACTTCATCGTATGTGAGGAAGGCTACATAACCAGGGTGAGTGACTGCAAGTATTTGCCAATTTCGCAACAACGTGGGCCAAGGCTGGAATAATCTGAGGAACATCAAGGTTATCATCATAAGGCACTACTATAGTACTGTACCAAGCTCTCTTATGATGAACAACAACAATACCAGAATATGTTCCCAGGTTTAATATAGCAGAAGTACTGTACTGTACCCAAGAGCAGAAAACAAACCCACTGGAACACCACTCCAGGAGAGTCATTACTTATCCATTCTTTCAACTGTTTTACCACTGCATCATAATTTTAACTGTGGCTAAAAAGATGAAAAATGGCTGTAGTTAATTTAAGCTGTACAAGGTTTTGAAGAATTCACAGATTACTCCATTTCTGCTGCTTATAAGAGAATGTAAAATACGACCATTTATCATCTCAAAAAGTAGTGAATCAGATTTATTGCTTCTATGAAAAAAGAGTTGGCACCAAAACAACAACTCGGCTAAGGCCTGAATATTTACCACTATCACTACAGAGAACAATACAGTATGAAGCAGACAGTTTACACATCAAGTCACCTACCTTGTGAAAACGTCAAACTCAAAACTGGAAATGTAGTCATTGCAGGTCAGGTCTATGGTGGATTTTAGAGCCATGGCTTCAAGCCCTGAGCCAATTGGATGTACTTCACTCAAGGTGTCTCTAAAGTATCTCCACGGCACTACCGTTCTGAGAAAATTGAGAAAGGGAGAAATTAATTACTGTCCTCTGCTATAAATCACGATGAAAAAGTAAATATCGGTAAATCTTTATAATTAAAAAGATGTAAATACACCTAATACAGTACAGCATAGGAGAAATATACCCAGTCAAAACCAATCAACGTGTGTGGATAGCTCCGAGATATTCTACCATACAAAAGCTGGTCCACTATGCACCAATGATGTTTTTATTTATTTTTCGAAGTGTGAATATTTACTGGTAGTTAAACTGGTATAACTTTTTCCTTTTTTGCTTCATTAATGTTTCTTTCCATTGTAATAACAGTAAAATTGTTCTTAAATCCAAGGGAGTATTCATATACAGCTGGTTAGGTTCTAGGAGGCTTGTTCGTAACATCAAAATGTCATAATCTGAATGTTCATAAACCATGGTGTTCCTGTATTGTAGTTTCATATTGGAGTAAACGACTTGAGAGAGTGAATATCGTACAGAAAAGTCTCCAAGAACCAACGATGAAAATTAGAGAAGCTGCTGATGACATGGAAAACCTTCGTCTTTTTCTGAGGGAGTGGTAGGATGGATTAGTGGATGAGGCCATTGTTGCTAGCCTGCAAGTTCCCAACAAATATGAAATCCACACAGAACATAGAAACAGGAAAAGGATATTTGAAGAAAAGGCAGAAAATTAAGGCTTCTCTCGGCAGCAAGAATTAAGCGCTCAGACATAAGTGGGAATTAACAGAGTGAAGGAAATTTGGACCAGTTGTATCTGGTTGTCTGAGCTTCAAAATTGATTTAGACCTTTGATCTACATGGTCTCCTTGGAAAGAATATTGCCACAATTTTGCAGCTGAAATTGTGGTAGAATCCCTTTACCATTATGTTGTGGACTGTTGCACGCTACATATGAACCACTAAGAGGGTGACATCACTCTGCCATCAAGTGTAAAGATACTCCTAGAATCCAGCATAATGAACACCAAAGACTTTTTCCTGATCTCTGAATTGCTCTAGTTTTGATGTTTACTGTGGCTGTCTCGGTCACTTCTTGTGTGTGGACGTTCAGCAAATTGAGAGTAAACAAATGCCACCTAAGGTCAACAGTGGCTCTCAAACTTTGCCCTACTTGTTATCTAACACAATGTTTGGAGAGTGTCAGTGTCGAAAGTGTTTAAGATAAGGTTGCTAAATCAAAGGCATGAAAATGTCATTTGTGTGTATATATATATTTTTTTATTTTTTCCAGAAAATTCAGGAAAGCATTAACCACAGTAATGGAAGATACTGGCACAGATGCTAAGAGATTAACAAATAATAAATTATAAGAAATTATGTGAAAGCTGACATATACAGTGAGAAAGTATGTGAAGATTGACAGAAGAAAGATGAAAATATAAGAAATAATGGACTGATTAAAGAAATGTAAACATGTCAACTGAAACCTATAAGTCAACACAACACTAAACTCAGATGACCACCATTAATGAGCACTGTCACTACTCCGTCATCATAGTCACTGCTCAAGCTTTCCTCGAGGGAATGAATCAGATAAAAAGTGCACTCTGTGAATCACCAGGTGGCAACCCTACTTCCGGTAAACCTAAAACCAGGTGCCAGGGGGAGTTTCATTGCTCTTATAATTAGCTCTGAGAAGGCCTTACTATGACCTGGACCAGTGCCAGGGAGGATACGCCTTACCGCCACGCCACACCAGTATGAACGAATTCAAGGTAAAGCTTAAAATACCCGGAGTAAGTGTTTATTTTCAACATTGGAAGCGAAACACAGTGAGGCAACATCAGACACATTCAAACATTCTGGCACACCAGCTGCTGTCTAATGTCCTTGCTCTGGATATTATCAGGGCACTCACAGGAAGCTACAAGAGCATTTATATTTGTGCCAGAATAAACAAATCTGGCCATGTGATCTTGGTTCTCTGGCAGAGGTACAAGTCAGGCATGTGAGCTTGTTGGGCTGGGTATGAATGGGTCGTGGGAACAGCATGGATACAGGTGATGAAGAGATCAAAGACGATATTACAGTATATAGCTAATCTATGTATACTAAATTATATAATCATGAAATCTCAATAGTCACTACATGTGATTAAAGTAGTTGCTATACAATATTATGGTCGTAGGAGTTTGTTTGTTTTTTGTTTTTTTACGGGGATTAGCCCACCCAGGCACAGGTCACCGACCCTCATCAGGGCCTGGGGGGGTTGAAAAACTAAATAAATACAAAATGGAAAAAAATAAACAAATCAAGAGTGAGAAACAATATGTATGTTGTGTTGTCAAAGTAAGAGAAACAATTGAAACCCTGAAATTGTGTGTAAATGAGGCAGAAAGTCAGATCAGCAGCCAGGGACTTGGTCACAATTTTTTTTATGCCATATGGCAGCAGGGTCTACCATAGACAACACATTATGCTTCCAATATCTTCCCAGGTGGTAGTACCTCCCTGTTTGGTAGCTGCCTACTGTCTGTATCAATACAGCTTTTCCCGACTTACGACGGGGTTAGGGACCCAAATCCAGGTCGTAAGTCGAAAATGCTTAAATAATACATATAAAATATAAAATGGGTGTCTCTTTTTCTTCTCTGCACCACAAAACTCTCATTTTTAAGCTTCCCAGCCATTTTAAAGTGAATTACAAACGAAAATTTTCTCTGTGTACTGACGTTGGGACTTGAAAATATGTAATTTGACAAAATTTTGGTATGAATGAGGCAGGTCGTAAGTGCGAGTGGTCTTAAGTCCAGCAGGTCGTATGTCGGGGAGGAGCTGTAGTGTACAAGTAAACCTGGCAAAGTGGGTGTATGTAACCATGGTTGTAGATATGAATAATGTGATACTATGATTTAGTCTTGAGTCATGGGAGTGCAGTATCATTTAATCATGGTGACAGGAATCTATATGACAAAGCAATAGGTATGGTGCTTGTGAGCATGGTAGAGTGTACATGGTAACAAAGACACACATGATAATGGGAGTATACTGTAGATCCATGACCCCATGAAAGCACTGACTGGTGTACTGTACAAGATGACAGAATCTCTCGCTCTCTCGACTTAGTTCAGTCTTTGTTTTACACCAGTTCTGGGATTTCCAGTTTAATTTATTATTTACACAGTTTGTACAATATAAACCACAAGTGTACCATACATAAATTGGGCAGAAAACATGAAACCATGCAATTTCTGTAAATATTCAAGTATAACAAAATTGTTAATCTTTTTCCAATGATCAAACAAAACAAACCAGCCCATCTAACTTAAAGTACTGTACTGTATATAATATCTCCTGAGTCAGTTTTGGTGAACATTGTTTAGCAATTAAAATTAATGTTTGTGTTGACTGAATAATAAGCATTCTCACAGAGGTAACTACAACTACACTCACTACAGTATCTCAAACACACACACAGAAAACTAATGAAAAGAATAAACACGTTATCAGGAGCCTCTGTGTGAGCCTCAGTGTTGCTCACTAGATGGTCCTCGCCCCAAACGGATATGACGCACAAAGAACTGTCGCTCTTAACTTTGACGTGCAATGTGGGTACCTAAGAAGGTTTAGAGGGTGGCAGGAGGCACTCTTGGAATATCACTATGACTAACCTGGGTAATTCTAATCACTCTTAGTCTCAATGATAAATTACTGCTGCTCCTTCACTAATTATTATTAAATTAGGTCACATTGAAAAGGTTCTTGTTATTACTACTGGTGTTGTTGATAAGGATGATGTTTTAACTGTTAATAATGACAGGTGATGATCAAGAAGGTGTTATGCTACACAAACACCAGTATGCTCGTGTCTGTGACGGTGGTTATGGATGGTACGGCACTGTATTAACCACTGTTGACAAAGCTATTGCTGTGTATGGCTGCCAGCTAGAGGGACTAAGCTGTTTTAATTAAAGTGATATACGTACATGTATATTGTAGGAATGGTCTAGGTTGTATTCATACTTGGGTTGTTGCATCTCAAACTACAGTACTGTATATGAATGGGTTTAAGTAATCATGGCTGAGGCCTACTGTAATGTACAAGACCAACCATTCACCCCAACACTTGGTAAATGTTAACGTAAACCCCTTGAGTACAATGATGTTATCTCATGAGTGGAGTGTTACTGAACTCAAGGGGATTAGCATTCAAAGAGATAAGGCATCATACATAAGGGATTTAACATTATACTCAAGGGGTTAAGTTGTCATTCTCAGGGGTAAACGTATTTTAGTGAATGGGCATTCATAGTACTCAAGGGGTTAATGCTACCTGACTTTCACATAGTACATATATTTTAAGTAAGAACCTATCTTGATTTGCATGTGCTATTGCTAGATGACAATTTCAGGAATGTGTATTTATTAGGAATCTTCAAGAACCTTTACACTTCCCTTCCTAGTACTGTACTGACTTCTCAAATATTTGATCTACTGGAAGAATAAAGAACAATGTATGTTTGTATGGAATTATTTCATATAGTGAACCAGTATACTGTAAAGATACATACCCGGTAAGTGTTTATACACTGAACACAGAAAATAAAAACTCTAAATATGGGACCAATGCTTGCTTGTTGAGCCTGTCTGATGCTCACAATGGGTTTTGTTTCAGCACCTCCACCATGTAATCTGATTTTTGAATTACCAAAAATATTTCCTAACATGAAGTAAATTTTTTAAAAGTTAATTTTTTTTATTTTACTGTACAATTGCATCCAGAATAAATGACCAAGCACACTACAGTACTATACTATACAAGAAAATGTTACACTGCATTGTAATGAGTAAATGGCATGGAGAAGTCCACTACCAACTGCATTCTTGTCACAAGGCCTACACATTACCTCAGCCAGACATGAAACACACACCTCTATTGTGAGCCATCAGTGACAAACCACCCTCTTCAAACCACAGCAACACACTGAGCACAAAACCACAAGACCAAATGTTTTGGGGGATTCTACTGTATTAAAGTATTTTCATGCACA